AGTTTAGATGCACAACTTAGATCATCGTGGAGTCAAGGATTCCGAGTTCACTTCGAATGCGGAAGAACGACTCTTTCTCTAAAGGTTTTGTGAAAATGTCGGCTAATTGGTTGTGTGTTTCAACAAACTCAATTTCGACATCACCTTTGAGAACATGATCTCTAATGAAATGATGCCTAATGTCAATGTGTTTCGTCCTTGAGTGAAGAACGGGGTTCTTCGTCAAGCTTATGGCGCTAGTATTATCACAACGAAGAGGGACGTGATTGATACTAAGGCCATAGTCCACGAGTTGTTGCTTCATCCAAAGGATTTGAGCACAACAACTACCGGCGGCTACATATTCCGCTTCGGTTGTGGATAACGCAACACTGACTTGTTTTTTACTAAACCATGAGACTAGAGAGCTACCAAGTAAGTGGCAAGTCCCACTCGTACTTTTACGGTCCAATTTGCAACCGACAAAGTCCGAGTCGGAATAGCCAACGAGATGACAAGAAGAGCCTTTTGGATCCCACAGTCCAACGTTAACCGTGCCGGCAAGGTATTTCATAATCCGTTTTAGCGCCGTAAGGTGCGATTCCTTCGGACACGATTGATACCTTGCACAAAGGCAAACGCTAAACATGATATCCGGCCTACTAGCGGTAAGATAGAGAAGGGATCCGATCATACCTCGATACTTTTTGACTTCTACTTCCTTACCTTTCTCGTCTTTGTCAAGATGGTCAGACGTGCTCATTGGGGTCGCCATGGCTTTGGCGTTGTCCATTTCAAATCGTGTTAGGAGCTCCTTGCAATATTTGGCTTGGCAAATGAACGTGCCACCTTTCATTTGCTTGACTTGGAGTCCCAAAAAGAATGTGAGCTCGCCCATCATTGACATTTCGAATTCACTTGTCATTAAAGTTGAGAATTCCTTGCACAAAGATTCGTTAGTAGCACCGAATATAATATCGTCTACATAAACTTGAACCAAAAGGATGTTATTGTTTTTACTCTTGATAAAAAGTGTGGTGTCTACCTTTCCCCTTTGGAAACCACTATCCAAAAGAAATTTGCTCAAATGTTCGTACCAAGCATGGGGTGCTTGTTTAAGACCGTAGAGCGCTTTCTTGAGTTTGAAGACATGATCGGGAAACTCAAAGTCTTCAAACCCCGGGGGCTGGTCAACATACACTTCCTCTTGAATAAAACCATTGAGGAAGGCACTCTTAACATCCATTTGATAAAGTTTAAAATCCATAGACGAGGCAAAGGCAAGAAGTAAACGAATAGCTTCTAAACGTGCTACGGGTGCATAAGTTTCTTCAAAATCAATGCCTTCTTCTTGATTGTAGCTTTTAGCTACGAGCCTAGCTTTGTTTCTAGTGATTATTCCATTTTCATCAAGTTTGTTACGGAACACCCATTTCGTACCAATAATCGTACGATCATCGGGCCTTGGTACCAATTCCCAATTGTCATTCCGTTTGAATTGGTTTAGCTCCTCTTGCATAACCAAGGTCCAATGTTCATCGTTTATTGCTTCGGAAATGGTTGTAGGTTCAATTTGAGAAACAAAAGCCATGTGACCTACGGTGTCCCTAAGAGAGTTACGAGTACTTACCCCGCGGTTGATGCTGCCGATTACTTGGTCAAGTGGATGGTTCTTGTGCGTTCTCCAAGCGATGGGAAGCTCGGTTTCCTCTTGTTCCTGGGCTTCCTCTTGTTCTTCTTCGTCCGCTTGGTCCTCATTTTCGACCATCACTTGAGGTGTTTCCTCAGGTTGTGGTTGCGGGTTGGTGTATAATGGCGTGTCTTCTTCATCATCTTCAACGTGTAATCTTTCGAGTGAATCTGCAAGATCATCACAAATAGCCTTTCTCGCCAAGCGAGTATTATCTTCGGAAAATACAACATGAGGGGATTCCTCAATAGTCAAAGTGCGCTTATTAAAAACTCTATAGGCCTTGCTGCGAAGAGAATAACCAAGAAAAATCCCTTCGTCCTACTTGGCATCAAATTTTGCCAAGTTATCTTTGCCGTTATTATGAATAAAACATTTGCAACCAAAGACTCGAAGATGGGAAAGGTTTGGCTTTCTCCCTTTGTATAATTCATAGGGCGTTTTCATGAGTATCAGTCGAATGACGGCTCGATTTAACACGTAGCTCGCGGTACTCACGGCATCCGCCCAAAAATACTTAGGGATTTTTCCCTCATTGATCATAGTTCTAGCCATCTCTTCGAGACATCTATTTTTGCGTTCCACCACTCCATTTTGTTGTGGTGTACGTGGGGCTGAGAAGTTATGATCAATGCCAAGTTCGTCACACAAATCTGAAAACAAATTTCGTTCGAACTCTCCCCCATGGTCGCTTCTTATGGCTACTATGGTTGTGTCTTTTTCATTTTGAACTTTCTTTAGAAAATTTTTGAAAACATGAAATGCTTCACTTTTATGAGTAAGAAACAAGGTCCATGTAAACCTAGAGTAGTCATCGACAATCACAAACGCAAAGTAATTGCCACCAAAACTTTTCGTTCTAGAAGGACCAAAGAGATCCATGTGCAAAAGTTGAAGCGGTCTAGACGTTGAAACAATGTTCTTAGACTTAAACGAAGCCCGAACTTGCTTCCCCTTTTGACATGCATCACATATGGCGTCTTTTTCAAACTTAAGTTTTGGAATGCCAATTACTAAGTCTTGTGAAACCAATTTGTTCAAAAGGTTCATGTTCATATGAGCTACCCTTCGGTGCCATAGCCAAGTGTCTTCCTCTTTACTTATCAGGCACTTAGCAAAGCCGGAAGGAGATTTGTCTAAGTTAACCATATATATGTTATCGATTCTATCACCACGTAGAATGACCTTATTGTCACTAAGGCGTTCTACCGTGCATGATTTTGAATCGCAGGTCACACGGTTTCCCTTATCACATAATTGACTTATGCTCAAGAGATTGTGTTTAAGACCTTTAACAAGCAAGACATTATCTATAGAGGAGTTTTCAGATTTACCTACTGAACCAATACCGATAATCTTTCCCTTGCTATTATCTCCAAAAACTACGTTTCCTCCTTTAGCGGGTTTGATTTGGAGAAACTTGGATGCATCCCCGGTCATGTGCTTGGAGCATCCGCTATCAAGGTACCAAAGTACACTTGATGCCTTCAAGCACACTTATGAAACACATCAATGAGTTTTAGGTACCCAATTTACGTTGGGTCCTCGGGTGTTAGGTGTGTGATGGTAGTGTGCTTGATTTTGTGATAGGTGCCTATGCCTAGTGTAACAAA